ACTTTTATTATACTAATAAGTGTTATTATAAATATATTTTCAAAGACATATTAAATAAAAAATTTCTATATTATAAACTATTATTTTAAATAAGATGCAATCAGATAAGTATAATAAAGAATTAAAATTAGTATTTGAATTTCAGAGGGTTAATATTTTAATGTTGTTCCAAAATATTTTTATCTTAATAGCAAATTTAACCTAGATTTGTAAAAAATATATGATAAAAAAAGTAAAATATATACAAAGAACAAAATATTGATACTATTTGACTTGGATTTATTTTTTTATATTAAATATATATTAAAATAAAAGAATTATTTAATATATAATAAAGAGCAAAACTCTTTTTCTTTAAAAATAAAAACTTTTTTCTGTTTTTACTAAAAACAATATTAACAGTAGCTATTATCTTTATTATATTATTAATTATATATATATATATATAACTTGTATAAGAATAAATATACAACTAGCTATTTGTATAATTTATAGTTATTTATTTAAATAGGTTATTTAAAAGTTAAGTTTTATATTAGCTATTATATCTGTAATCTGCTAGAAGATTACTTATTTAAACACTTTAATTTTATACTATATCAGATAAGTAACCTTAAAGCTTTTGTACATCTAAGTGTTATTTAACTTAATATATAATCTTTTTTTAGTATATTTGTCAAGCTGTTTACTTATTTCAAAGCATATTATCTAACTATAAAACTTAAAGTGCCTCTCTGTTAACTAACTACTCAGATTTAGTTCTTTGTTAATAGAACTAATTTTTGTAGAGTTTATCTATATCCTAGCAATTATTTCACAACATATTTTTAATACTTTTAGTATACTTCTGCTTTGTTCTCAGACTTTCAAACTAGATAGCTTTAAAAGATTATAACCTGTTTTTGATATATCAAATCCAATTTAATATTTTTTCAGTTCAATTTAACAATCTGATTAGTAATACTTTTTATTTTATTTAAAGATTTTTGTTTGTCTGGTTTTTCTATATTAATATCTATTTTTTAGATTTAGTTTTTATAGTAATATTGTTAAAATTTTATATTATCTCTTTATTTAGGTCCTCTCAAGTAAGCTTTAGTTTTTCTTAGTTTTATAGATTTATATAATTACAAGAACTTATTTTGAATTTGTATTGTCTAGTACCAGTTTGTATCTTTCTATATAACCAAGCTTACACAGATGTTTTATAACTTGCCAATTATGCTAATACAATTATAGTTACAAGTAACTGATTAATAAAATACTGTTATCAAAATACTGTCTATATTATATAAATGATTATCAAAATTTTTATCATTAGTAGGTTTTGAACTTACAATTTACTTTTTAGAAATTAACAACTAATTCACTTTACTAAGTTATCACATCTTTAAAAATAAAAACTTAAGATATAAATTTTTTAATATATTAAATTAATATTATTGGTTTATTTAAAAAGAAAAAAAAAAGCATATCTATATTTGTATACAATATTGATAAAACATTAAACAAATTCTCAGAACAAATGAAAGATAATAAGTTTTTACTCAAAAGGTCTATTTAGATTATTAATGTATAGAGAATCCAATAGCAAAAAAACAAAAAAAAATATAATTCTTAATCTTATGCTAGATACAAATTACAATGAATGTTTAAAGGTAAAAAAAAAAATATTATATTAAAAATAATGATCTTGTATTAATAAGCAAACACTTTAAGCTAAAATGACAATTTGTACAAAATAGCTTTTAAATTTTTGTAAATATATTTAAATTATATCAAAAAAATATCATATTTAAAAGAATATCTTTAGATAATATTTCAAATATAATTAAATTTTCTTTAAAGCAAAGTACTGTTGTTGTTTTGAAAATTTATAACTGAATCAAAAAAGATGCAAGAACAAATTATTCTTTATTTTATTAATAATCAACATTAAAATATTTTACTAATATATGTAAGTCAGAAATATACCCAAACATCTAAAATAATTTATGAAAATATCTTAAATTTATGCCTATTTTGGGGTTTTGGTAGTAGAAATGATATTAGTAGAATTATATGTCAATATACAGATGATCTAAAAAAGGCATCTAAGATTATTAATAAGCATTTATAAAATCATAAACTTGTAATTTGCAATTTTACTAAACTAGTAAATGATTATTTAAGTATATAGCTTGTTTGAGATACATTTTTAAATCTTTTAATAAATAGAACAGAATTTTAGATATTTAAGAAATTTTTTTGGTTCTTATATTTTTATTTTTTTTTCTTTAACTTCAGATTGCAATCTCTTATTGGCTTTAACTCACTTCTTATTCTTTATAGTGATTTTTCATATAAATTTATCAAAAGTTTTTTTTATATTCTAGTAATTACCAAAATAAAATATTAATTTCTTTTTTAATTCAGTGATTGATTTTTTTCTTATAATTATATTTATAGTTATTAGTATCTTAAATTTGTGTTTCTTGATCTGTTATGATTATATTATATAGATGTGATAAATTTTTAAATAACAATGAAATTTAGTACTGGTGATATTTCTTTCTATTATAAACTATAATCTTATGTTATAAAAAATTTCAATATCTGGATCTATATCATATGCTTCTAATTCTGTCAAAGGATTATGTTTTCTTATAGTTAAGCATTTCTATAACTTTTATATTAGTAAGAGAAATAGCTGTTATACTATATCTATATATGTTTAATTGAATTTTATTTGTGTATATTTTAGAAAAACTTTTGTTAAATTCTATAGAATTCTGAAAAAAAATATATATATATTAACTATATATAATTTTGAAATATTTATAATTACTATCAATTGTATAAATAATATATTCTTACACATATTCAGTAAATATTGAATAATGCTCTTTTAATTCTTTTTTATATTGTGTAATAAGAACACCTATTTTAATAAAGTTTTTTTTATATTTTAAAAAATCTATTTTGAATATACTTTTTTATTTTTTATTCTAATATTTAGTATTATTTTAAAATTCAAAACCAATATTATCTTGTCATTTATCTAATATTTTTTTTATTTTTTTTCATATAATACTGAAGTTATATTATTAATAACATTTTGAATTTGGCTATTAGTGACTAGAAATAGCATATACACTAGTGATTATAAATAATACAACAAAAAAAAATTTAGTTAGATTGTATTATTTCATGCAATTTTGGACATATTTGTCAAATTTTTATTTTTTTTATTCACAAATACTATCTTTTTTAAATAGCAAAATTTTAATAATCATTATTATTACAATGCAAAGATAATTGTAAATTTATTACAAATTATATGTTGCATTATTTTTGATTATTTTTGACAAAGATTAGATTATATAAGTTGTGCTACATAAATACATATAAAAATGCAAGTTTCATTGTTAATTCTGTATCTTGTGTAATATTAGAATTGTTTACAAATTAAAAAAAAAACTGTACAACCTTTATCAAATGAGTCTAAATCTTGTTTTTTCTTCAAAAGAATATAACATAAGAGCAGTAAGTTGAACCCATCATGTTAACTTTTCATAGTCTCACAAATTAGAAAAAAGTGGTTAACAAATCATACACTTGAAGATTTAGAAAAAGTTGATTATTCAACTTTGTTAGATAAACTAATCCAAAGAAGAATAGTAAATTTAATTATCTCTTATTATTGTTCTATCATCATTGAAATGAAAACCCATCTCAAAATAAATGAAAATATTAAAATTTCAATGTTTACTATTTGCTGAATATTTCAAAACCATGATTTAGTATTAGGAGTAAAAAAAAAAAAATCTTATCTAAATAACAGTTATCAAAAAACACAACTTGCTTTTGTAAAAAAATATAAAAAATGAACTGTTAAAGATTAATCCAAGATAATTTTATTGAATGAGTCAAAGTTTCAAATTTTTGGGTCAGATAATAAATAGTATTATTAGAAGTGTTATGAAGAACTGTTAAATCGGTTCCATATTAAGCCTACTATGAAATATGATGACAGATCAATTATGATTTGGGATTACTTTATCTCTTGTGGTTTTGGCAACTATTGTAAGGTCAATAGTATAATGGATATAAATCTGTATCTAAAAATACTCTATAAAGATTTGATGTAGATGATTGAAGATCATGGATTTGAAGTCAGTGAAGTTGTTTTTCAACAAGATGGAACATATTGTCATATAACAATCTTGACCAAATATTTACTTATAAGAAAGAAGATAAAATTTTTTGACTGGCCTCCCAATCAACTGATCTAAATATAATTGAACACTTGTGAGATGAAGTTAATCATCACCTTAGGGACTTTCCTGGTCAAATGTCAAGTGAAAAGGACCTCTGGGAAAAAATTCAGATGGTTTGACAGGCAATTGATGTTGAAACCTGCATGAGGTTAATTCGTTCAATTCCAGAACGAATCCGTGATGTAATTAGAGCCCAGGACAGCTACACCAGATAGTGATAGCTGAAAATTATTAGAAAAAAAATTTTTTTTATTTTACAATCGTGTTGCTGTTAAAATGAGCAAAAATAATGCAACACGTATATTGAAATAATGCTCATGCCCACAAAAAATTTTGATCACTAAATTTTTAAATCTTTTTTATTAATGATATTATTGCTATTTGCGAATAAAATAAAAAAAAAGTTAACAAATACGCCCGGAATTGCATGAGATAATGCGATCCGACTAAATTTTTTTTTTTGTTGCATCATTTATGATCGCCAGTGTATACTGTAGAAGACTTATTTAATTTTTTCTATTCCAACTCCATCTTTCCCAAATAACATTCTAATTTTTTTGGCTTTTAAGGTTTTTATATGCAAGTTTCCTAATATAATATCAGATGGATGGTTTAACATTTTCTTATATAGTTATGTTCTAGTAGTTTTATCTGTAACTCCTATCTCATGGCAAATTTTGATAATTTTATTTTCAAAACTATCAAAATAATAGTACCAGTATAAGATTCTTCATGTCTAGCTCATATTGCATTTTGAAATAAACAGATTAAGCTTTGTGTTGTAATTTGGGATGATTGATGTTCTGTAATATTAGTGGAAACTGGTGAGATAATAACTCTACTACTTTGCAATTCTTTTGTTAACTCTTGCTCTATACATTGACTTTTAGTAGGCTCAATTTCAATTCAAAAAATTTTTTTGCTGATCATCACGTTTCATGACAAAAATTTTTTGGCATTTTTCTTTTTTGCTTACATAATTTTGTTCAGGAGAGATTGAAGTATCTGAAACTAAGTTCTGAGCTCAGTCTTCAGCTGATTCACATTGAAGTTTCTTCTCCCTATTGCATTGCTTTATCTCGCAACTAACTCTTTCCTTACTTTTCAAATCCAGAAATTCATCGATCTTTTTATTTTCAAATGATTTAGGCTCAGATAAGTATGTATATCTATTGAAAGAAATATCAGATGATACTTTTATAGAGAACAGAATCTTCTAATACATGTACGCTATCACTTTGTGTCTGTTTTTGTTACAATTTTGTGACTCTATCTCTGAGCTCAGCATTTTTAGCAATAAGATTACTGGTGTCTGTTTTATTTTTCTTTTCTAGCACCTCGAATCTGGTCTTGAGCTCAGCATTTGCTTTTATAGCTTGTTTCAATTTTGTATTCTCAGTCTTGACCTCAGCATTCTCCTTTCTAAGTTCGAAAATCTTAGGCAAAAGCTTCGAATTTAATTCTTTCAATGAATTGATTTTTAATCGAGTGTCCGACATTGTTTATACAAGATGCGAATATGTTCGAAAGTTTATTAAAAATCACATGACTCTGATCATGATGGTTTTTGCAAAGAAAAACCAGTGATTGATCGGGAAAAATAAAATTCAAAAGTGTTTCGATCATTTTTTATGATAACACAGGACTTTTTAATTACATAAACTGCGCCAAATGATGTAATAATAAAAAAAAAGATTTTATTAATCTGATCATTAGAAATTGTGTACTCGACTTTCTACTCTTCCAAAATGGATGCTTGGCAATCAATCGTAAAGAAAGCAAAGAAAATTGGACATAAAGCTAATAAAACAGTCCATAACTATCCCAAGTTACCAAAATTTTCCTTAGAAGAAAAAAAGTGAGTGTACCCCACATATGTTTCCTCAATATCTGCTCAATGTTAACTTGTACGGTCTAGTTTGCCCTTTCAGATTGGGTCGAAGGTTTCAGTAAAAGATTATAACACTTTTCTTGATCACAACGAATCAAGTGAATACAAATTTCATTGGGACAACGGAAATGTATATATTGTTGATATGGCTAACGAAGAACACAAAGTTGTTGTCTCACTGCTTCAAGGCTGTTTCAAAGCTCCAAACAATGGTGTGAAACATGGTCCTTCAATAGTGATTACAGGTCAATCATGTAAGAGATTCCTTTTGGTCTGCTTGATATTTGCCTTGTAATAACAATTCCCATTTTTCCTATAGTTCATTATAATCCATCCAACATTGCATTAAAAATCGCACCAGACATCGCAGTTCGCCCAAATACTGCTCATGTTCTGAGACCTATCATTCCGTATCCTGGTTCTCCTCCTAGCAATACAATTGTACTTTGCATATATTATAATATTTATTTATTTTTGAGTCACTTTCCTAATATTGATAATATATTTTAATAGGGTAATCCTTATGCAAAAATAATCTGTGAGGTAGCTTTAGCTCAAAGCACTTCTTATTGGGAGGAAAAATGTGAGAATTGGATGAATGAACAATATGTGCGGTGCGTATTCGGTATCAAGATCCATAACATAAGAACTGTAAATAAACACGTTCATAGGTCAATGATGGTATGTTTATCTACTAGCTTTATTATTATATCATTTGTCCTGAGAGGTTTAAATATTAGGCTAGGCTAGGGGCCTGCAAATTGCCTATTTTTGAGGCCCAGCCCGGCCCGCAATTAGGGTTAAAAATTTTTTTTAGGCCCGGCCCGGCCCGCATTTAGGGTTACCATTTTTTTGCCGGCCCGGCCCAGCCCGCATATGTTAAATTTTTTCTTCAGCCCGGCCCGCAAAAATTTCTTATATAATTTTACAAATTTTCAGGCCTGCACCGGCCCGCAATTATAAAGTTTTGCAAATTTTTCGGCCCGGCCCGGCCCGCAATTATAAAATTTTGCTTCAGGCCCGGCCCGGCCCGCAAAAATTTGCGGGCCGGGCCGGGCTGCGGGACCCAACGCAGGCCTCTAGGCTAGGCTATGGACGCGTCAAACACCAGCACCACCGGGGAGCACACCAGCAACAGGAATAGCAGGAGTATCTGTCCAAGAGGCAAGATTTATCTACTTTCAGTATTTCTTATGGTTGAATGTTTAAGGATTAAGGTGTAATTTTTATATTATAGTGGGATTTCGGCACTCTACAATTTAATAGTAATAACCCAACTGGTTGCACAGGTCCGAACATTCCTGCATACCAAGTCAATATCCCAGTATCAGATGTTTTCTGGGACCCACCAATTGTTGCGGGAATTCCAAATGTTATTGGGTATACTGTAGCAGTACCTCCCGCGATCACTGCCAATAATTTTACCATTGATTTATACGATATTCAACAAAATTTTTTAGAAACACAGTAATGCACGATACATTCATTGCTTTATTTAGTTTGTCATATCATATCAAGCGAAAAATAAGATGTATACACAGTTAATCAAAACTTTATTTGTTAACTATAATAAAAAGTAAAAGAACAAACTACCGTTGCATAGGCAAACTGGTATGAGTTACTGCATCGCGTGATAAAGTCTACATCTATAATACTACATATAAAAAAGTGCCGAAAATTCGAGACCATATCTACTCAGTCACGGTCGAGTTATATCGCCATCACGTGACACAACATTTTTACCCAGAATTCTGCGGAGCAGGGCTTAAAGACCTAAGTTTGTCTAGTACTTTTCCTAACCTGTAATGTCAAATTCGGCCGATCAGTTATCCCAGAATTTATGAGAACAGCTGTAATACCGTATAGTTCCGAAATTAAGCACCTGAAAATAAGCACCCTGGCTGCACTATGCAAAATTTGGCCTGCATTATAACACGTTTGGCCTGCACTACATGCAAAAAAGGAGTGCTTAGTTTTGGAACTATACGATATTCCTTAATTTGTAGAACCTGTTTTATTTTTCATATGTTACAGCTATTTTCATAATTTCTGGAACACCTACTCGTTATCCGAAATCTTTTTGGTCATCCGGTAAATTATCTAGCGTTCCGGAAAGTACTTTGCTGCCTCTGGACTGAAGGTCTGAAGACAGCGATGTAGTTTCTGGAGAGTTAGATAATTTACCGAATGACCAAAAAGATTTCGGGTAACGAGTAAGTGTTCCAGAAATTATGAAAATAGCTGTAAACCTAAATTCTGGGACAATGATAAAAATTGACCGAATTCCAATTCCGATAACAATTGAATTCAAAAACTTATTGAATTCGGCCGAAACAATTTTTATTGTTGTCCCAGAATTTATGAAAACAGCTGTAATCGTTTTTAACATATGAAAAATAAAACCGGTTCCAAAATCTACTTCAGAATTGCGAACGAAATTGTTATTTGTGTAAATAACCAAGTTTTTTGTAAGTTTGTTAATACTAATTTTATCGGAAGAATTTGACTAGTCATCTGATAATAAAAATTCCAGGTAAATTTTCCTGACGATTTTTTTTTTGAATCAAAGTTGGATATAAATGTTTAAGATTGACCCCTAAATTAAGGGGTCCTTAAAGTCTGGTTAAAAAAGTTGCGTGTTGATACAGCTAGGGATTTATGTGAAATCTGCTCCACTTTAAGGGACCCCTAAATTAGAGGCGAGGATAAATCAGGTGATATAAAACCAATCAGAAGATCAATCTATCTATATAAACCAATCAAACCCTAAATGGATCACATGATTTAGACTTCCCTAAATTAGCTAATTTGTGATCGTCATTTATATCCAGCTTTGATTCAAGAAAAAAAAAATCGTCAGGAGATTTGCCTGGAAATTTTATTATCAAATGATTGGTCAGGGGTCTTCCAGTCCTGGAAAATCATGCATTAGCGTTAGGGGATTTACTTATTACGATTTGGTGCTACAATAACATAAAAATTCCAGGCAAATTTGCCTGGAAAACAGTTTAAGGGATAAAGTTTACAACCCCAGATAAATGTAAGGAATAATGTAAGGAATAACGCATGCTTATCGCTATATGTAATAAAATTGTTCACTAAACAATTATTAACATACAGAAGTTGACATAAAACTAACTATAAATTAGAATTTTAAGTTAACATTAAGCAAAGTTTCACATACTAAAAGTTACTATTCAATTATAGGAATTTCAAGTTTTTTTTTCATTGATTAACGTTCAGCATTATCCGAAACATAATCAGAAAAACGCGAATTCTTGTAGATCTCCGGAGTTTCTCCTTTAGTGTCACTTATAACAAAAGAAAAATAGTCATTTAGATGCAACTGTTTCGGAATTAATTAAGGTATTTTAAGACCAAAATCAAAAAGAAAAAGGTACATGCATACATATGCATGCACCATATTTCTCTGGCTAAACCATCTTCCCTGTCGAATCGTGTGGATATTTCTATGGAACATATCGAATGAGTAACGTCATAGTAACAATTAATATGTTTACGAACCATAAGCAAGATTACACATAATAAATAAACTATATAGAAATATCTTTATAAACCGTTAAGTATTTTACAGGAGAGAGTGGCGTATACCGCGAAATAGAGTATTTACAATATTTACAGTATTTACATACGCACATATGCACATACATGAATAAGGCCATATAAAGTTAATAATCCAGCGAGAATGATTTTGATAAAACCTATATAAAACTTTTTATAGATAAAAATTAAAAGTTGAATTGGCGGGACATTTTTAAACACACATGGTATGAGAACCAATCAATTTACTTTGTATAGTTTAATTTATGCATAAAAAGTAAAGTTTCTTGTTTGATAAATTTATATGGATTAAAATAAGTCTATACAATTAAATATTTTTGTATAAAAATGAATTTAATGGATAATAAATTACTCATAACGGTAATGAAATGAAAATATAGCACATAACACAGTATGAACAAAACAAGGATATGTTGACACATAATAAATAAATGTTTTACCAATCACAACTAAAATCGCCACCACCAAAATCGCAATTAAAGTCATTACCACCACCAAAATCACCACAAAAGTCACCACCACCAAAATCATAACCACCATAATCACCACAATAACCATCGTTATAACAATTATCATCATGATAATGACTATAATGGCTATGATGACCATGATGACCATGATGATGTAAAGAATCAGCAAGCAGCATAGCTCCAGCCTACAAAAAATAATAGAAAAGAAGGGTCAGTAAATTTACAATAATATATTTAAGGTAATATTTATAAATATTAAATTATACGAATTATATAAAATAACTAGTAAACTTACGGCTCCTCCAAGACCACCTAACGCCATTGAAGAAAAATTATGTTTCTTACCGCTATTCCCATAATTAGCGGAAGAAAAATTGCTGTTATTTCCAGGATTAGAGGAAGATGAAGAGCCAAACTTGCCTAAGCCTAGTTTATCCCATATATTTTTCTTTTTCTTTTTAGGAGCACCTGATTGGGATGATTGATAAGGTTGTGGAGGATAAGATTGAGGTTGATAAGATTGTGTTTCTCCATGATAAGAATGTGGTCGTTGAGAATAAGATGGTGGTGGAGATAGATAAGTTTGTGGTTGTGGTTGCGGTTGCGGAAAGTTTGGAGGATTATATTGATTATCCTGAAGAGGAGGGTATAAACCTTGACTCTGTGTTGACGATTGTGGCTGAGAAGCATCTCGAGGATCATCCCAGGTACTTACAGGAGGTTGCTTTGTTGTATCTAATTTTAATGCATATAAACATAGACATTAATTAAATGTATTTGGTAATGCAGCAACATGAACTTTTTGATCATTGTAAATGTAAATCAATATGCACAAATTATTTTTAGAAAAAAGCTTATATACCGACGAAAAAATATCTTTTATAGTTATGGTCATACTTTAAAAGTTAATACGTATTAGTTTACATGTCCATACAAAAATGAATCAAGAATTTTACGAATATTCCTTACACAAGTTTACCTGACAGACCCAACCTGGTGGGAGAGGCCTCGAATCCATGTTAGAAAAAGAGGAGAGGAGTTAGGAAAAATAAATTTTCGTATCGGTATATTTATAGTTGTAAGGTGGTCGCTATGATGTCACTAATGACGTATAAAATGACGTTTTCTTTGAAGTATTTAAATATTTGATATCGATATATGGATATGTACATACGCACATACGTACGTACTGTACGTATAAATATAATAGATGTGGTTCTTCTTAAAGCGAACTACAGCAGACGACGATTTGAAGGTCGGTAGTGCAAATCTTTGAGCACTAAACAAAATGTAATGTAATGGATTGTAACAATGGTGAAATTTTGTGTGACAAATTTTTGACCTAATCTTTAACCCTCATTTTCGAAAGTTTCGAGTATTCTGCATACAAAATATATATTAGTTACTCCGCATCAACTTTAATGCTAAACATTATAGATATCCTTTTAGTTAGTTAGAAGGGTAATAAATAAAACCTATATATATTTTTTTTTATTGATTAAGAGTTTCGTAGAGTTTCGGTTTTACTTTAGAAACACTATTAACACTATTGCAGTAATTGTGGTAACATTGTTGAGTCACGTGCATATTTAATAACAGCATTACGAAAATATTACGATAATATGATATATATATCGACATTGAATAAGGGACAAACAATAATGACAACAATCATGAATGGCCTAAACAATTCGGGAAATTGCCACCTATGCATCCGGTCACAAGTTGGTTACGTTACTTATTTATCTAACAGGTAACTGTTCCATTTTTATAACCTTCTCCGATTATAGGTTTTTTTATCCTGAATTAATTACACAAATTTGTAAATAAAATACGTCAACACAATTTTTTAGAATCGGTAAAACTTTATATAAAAGAGATCATCTGTTTAGGATTCATTTAAATGTTTGGATGCGGAATCAACCGGTAGAACTAACAATAATTCAAATAATTTGAATTCTTCCTATTTTCTTAATGATTTTTGTTCTCATTGGAAATCCTCGGGTTCGGATTATTTATTGTCATTATTATTATTATTATTATTATTATCGTTATATTGTAATTGTGGCCGAAATGCGATGCAATTTGTACACGTTATCGAATTCCAATTTCCTTAAATAGTAACTTATCAGTTTCATGTTTAAATAAACAATTTTGGCCAATTGAAAATGATTAAAAACGGTTAAAATCGATCATTTTATTGTTTGGCAATCATGGTTAATATAAATTGTACCAAATTACGCTTAACCTGCGATTTTCTTCCCACATATGGTTATTCTTGTTTTAGCTCGGTTAATGTAAAAGTTTTTTTTTCGATTCAAGCCCTGTTCATCGTTTCACCTTTTAAATAGAATACAAACAAATCTTGCTATTAAATTCAAATAAAATCTAGTCTGTTAGTTATGTTTTTGTCAGAAATGGGTTTTTTTTTTCTTTAAATTTTTAATTATCGACTTTATCTTTTTTAATCGTATCTCGAATTTACCATTCATAAATTTTAACCGTCTCGAATTATAATCTTAAATTTAATCGTTTCGAATCATTATTTACAATTTAAATTACACAATTCATAAATTTAGTCGTCGCAAATTACCATTTTACGAGTAATTATTCTCAAGCTTAATCCATCTATCGAATCCATCGAAACTATCACATCGTTTTTTTGTTCATCCAATGTTTTCTGTGGATCAACAAGATCGGTCTAGCAATGCTAGTATCCTATCAAATTCTTCAATGACTTCTTCTCAGGTAATTTTTTTTTATAATTCATCTAAAAAAAAAATCCAAAAATAATATAAATATATATTTATATAAATATATTTTTTTTTTAAAAAAAAAAAGTTTGAATTGCCAATAGCGGCTAAATTTTCAAACATATTACCACGGAATTTATTATATACTGATTTCCAAATAGAACATCTAGACATGGGTTCTACTTGGTACCGAAGATATTTTATTGAAAAAGGTGATTTTTACATACACATTTCTTTTATATCCATTGAATTGAGGGAGGTTTTTTTTTTATCTAACCTAAATTTAAATATAAAAGATCATTCGACATTCGTTGGATATGTTGAACCTTATGGACCTGTGGTCATTTCATTAGTACTCGATAATCGAACTGTAAATGCTAATCGTGAAAGTGTATATTGGTATAGATATATTATTCGTAAAAAACAATTACCTGATGATAGAGGATTATTATCAGGTCCACCTATTCTTCCTATGGGTGATTTACCGGCTGATGATTTATTAAAAACGATAGTAAAAAATCTTGGAAAGCAATCATTAAAGAAATTTATAACCACCCCTGGATTAACAAAAGAATTATTAAATTTAGATGAAACAAGAGTATTTATTATTATTATTATTATTATGAATGCGTTAATAATTATTCGTATCATTATTCGGTTTCTTTTTAAAATATTTATATATATATTTTATATATTTTTTTATAGCTTATAAAATGTTACAAGATTGGTGTATTATATTGTACGCCAACACAAAAAACTGAAGAAGAATGGTTTTCGAATACCACCACATCTATCGCTTATGAAAATTTTTTACAAATTTTAGGTGAAAAGGTTAAATTATTAGGATTTGATGGTTTTGCTGGTGGTTTAGATACTGTTACCGAAGGTACTGGAGAATATTCTATTTACGATACTGGCACTTGGAAAGATTTTACTATTATGTATCATGTAAGCACACTACTTCCTTATGAAAAATCAAATAAACATCAAATTACAAGAAAAAGGCATATTGGAAATGGTATGTCCTCATATTATTTGTGTTTAATATATGGGGGTGAGTCAATAGAAATCAAGCAAATTGTTTTTATAACTTAACACAAAACTTGATTAAATTTATTTGAAAATTTTTTTATTAAATTTGATTAAGTTATTGTTAAGTTATTGTTATTCAAAGTTTTAAAAAAATTTCCTTTGAAAATATTTGCTTGATTTGTATTGATTTAATCCCATTCATATACTTAATTATCAATTTTAATTTTAATATTAAAAATTTTCCTCTTAATTTAGATGTTGTATGTATAATTTTTCAAGATGTCCGAAGGCCTTTTTCTCCACTTGCTATACGTTCGCAATTTTTGCACGTTTATGTAGTTGTCAGCCCTGTTCAAATTAATATTGGTACTTCACGAGCATATCGCGTTGATATTGTATGTAAAGATGGTGTACCATATTTCGGTCCTCCATTACCTGATCCTCCGATATTTGACGATCCGGTATTATTAAAAAAATTTTTAGTGGCTACAGGTACTATTATTATTTATATTGTGTTTGTTTATCATGTTACTATTTTTTATGCTTGCTGTTTATTATTATGTTTATTATTATATATCTTGTTTACTATTCTTATTTTTACATTTAATAATTAATTCATTCATTCTAATTTACATTTAATTAATTCTATTTTCGTATTATAATTTATTTTCGTATTATCTAATTTATATTTTCATATTATAATTTATATTTTCGTTTTATATAATTTATATTTAAATTATCAACTTCTATTTTCACAATTCACGTTATAATTTATATTTTCGTTTTATTTAAATTATTAACTTCTATTTTCACAATTCACGTTATAATTTATATTTAAATTAACAACTTCTATTTTCATGATTCACGTTATAATTTATATTTAAATTAACAACTCCTATTTTCATGATTCACGTTATAATTTATATTTAAATTATCAACTTCTATTTTCACAGTTCACGTTATAATTTATATTTAAATTATTAACTTCTATTTTCATGATTCACGTTATAATTCATATTTCTAATTCAAATTTTAATTCACAATTCTAATTATATTTAATTTCTAATTTAATTTTTAATAATCAATTATTATTATTTTTTTTTAGTAATCAATGGTCAAAATGCTGCTTGGAAAACACCAAAATTATCCGAACCATTTTTACGAGCTCGTGGAGCTATTATACAAGATATAGTTATAAGACTCGTACCACAACCAAATAATCCTATAACACCACCAACATCACCTAAAAAAATTTCTCAAGATGATTTAGATTCTTCTTTAAAACGTTTATTTAAAGATTCTTTAAAATCCGGTGATCAACCTCCAGATATGATTCAAATAAAATCTTTATTAGATCAAGGTGCTAATCCAAATATTAAATTATTACAACCTAAACCATCAAAAGAACGTTTAAATAGTTTATATAATAATAATAATAATAACAATAATAATAATAATTATCAACCTACTTCAATATCTCAAAATTTGGATTTATCTAATAATAGATCAAAAACATTACAATCGGTTTATTCTTATAGTTCAAGTTCTTCTTTAGGTGAAAATGATTTAAAAACTTCTTTTTCTCAATTTTATAATCACAAATTACCAAATATTTTATTTGCTACTATAATATTATGTGATGATCCGGTTTATGTGAAGATGTTAATTGATCATGGTGTTGAGGTTTTACCAAAAGATTCTCATTTTCCAAATGCTTTCATTTTTGCTGCAAAATATGGTCGTGTTGAAATTATGAAATATTTATTGGAAAATGTTCCAAAATTAAGTGATAATGAAATTGTTGATATTGATGATGATTCTTCAAATGTTGGTGGAAATGGTGGTAGTGGTGGTGGAATTGGAGCTAAAGAAATTAAGAATTATGGAACAAAAATATGGAGTGGTTTTACTGGTGAAGTTAAAAAATTAAAGAATCATATTAATAGAGCTAGTAATTTGTATAAATAAATTCTGTTGTTTTTTTTTTTTTTTTATCAAAAAAAAAAATCTTTTCGGTAGCCATGATAGTAGCAATATTCACTAATTGTACATTTCTGATTAATATTTATAACTCGAATTAAATAAATTGCTTTTTTATGGGTATACTGTACTGAATTTATGGATGGAAATCCTTTATTTTTTTTTTGATTTCTATTCAAAAGTGTCTAAATAATAAAAAAAGAACGCAAATTATGCAAATTACAAAAAACGAAAAAAAATTAAAGGTTCTATCACATTAAAATATTATTAAGAGTATATATGTAATGACCATAAATCAGGTCACGTAAGAATTATATAAGATTTTTTTTAAAACAAAAAAAAAAAAAAGAAACCCCTCGAAATTATTGACCAACAACACTTCTAGGCCTAGCCTTTGCTATATCCTTATTTGTTTTTCTTGCTAAAGGCATAGTTAATGTAGAATTAGGTGTTGTAGCTTTTGTAGCTTTGGATGGTGTTAAAGAAGATACATTACTTTTTTTATCTTCGTTATCTATTTTTATTTTAATAACATTTTTATCAGTTTCTTTTTTAGTTTTTGATGATGTAACGGGTACACTTAAATGTCCATTGACAATATAAGATGAAGTTGAGGGTGGTGCAAGAGTAGTTGGTGTAGATGGTGCAGCAACAGATGAAACGGATGATGATTCACTTGATGTACTAGAAACACTATTGCTACGTTTTGATGTAGCGTTACCCTTACCAAGAAAGAGTGATGACCGACGAGAAGCAGCCGAATTTTTATCATCATGTTTATTCGTCTTTTGAGTAGCAGCAGTTCCAGGATGAAGAGTTAAATTATTTGAACTTGACATGCGATAAGTTGGACTTAAAGGTGGTGTCAAACTTATATTATTTGTGCTGCGTTTTCGGGTTAACCTTCCGTTTAGTCTCTCTGGTGATGTTGCACGTGAGGATGCGGTAGACCTTGCTGGAGAAACGGAACGACTTATAACCTTGCTACTTCTTCGTGATCTGTTGGGTAAATTTTCCGAATTTGAAAGCGGTATCGAACTGCTAGGAGTAAGTTTTTGAGTATGACTACTACGCGTTCGGGTTCCATTACTATACGTAGGAGGTTGCATTGATTGACTATTATGTGATAGACTTTGATCACCATTTACGGATGCAGCCGGCGATACTGATCGGCTTTGTGGAACTTTTGGTGTTGATTTATTCTCTTTACTTTCTCTACGTTTGGTTGTTGTGTTCTTGTTATCTTTGGTCTGTTTTTGGATTGAACCTTTAGCAGCATCCTTTTCAAAGCCAAAGAACATTTGATTGACGGTGCGTTCTGAGATTTCCGCTTGCTGTATGAATTTAATATAAAAGAACTTTAGTATTATTGTTTTTTTTTTAAAGAGAGAGAAAGATATATATATATATATATGTAGTATTGTACATACCAGCGTATCCAAGTATCGCACACTTTCATACATAAAAGGTTTTCTCTCAGCTGTTGAATAAATTTACATAATAAGTTAATAATTTTTGTTAAAAATTTTTGATGAATAAATTTATATAATAAGTTAAAAAATTTTGATGTAATGAGAAATACACATGATATTTATTTACCTTCTTCATAAGCGATGCATGCATTAATCAAGTTGTCTTCAATTTTCACCAAATTAGGCCAACACGATTTTCGCCATTTTTCTTCTTCCAATAATCGGAAAGAACTTTGAAATAGACGACGCGGATCAGATGCAGTTTTCTCAAATTCAATCATTTTCTGAAAGGAAAGGAAAGGAAAGGAAAGATATATATATATTAAATTAAACAAAACTTTAATTGGTAACTGTTAATTATTAAATAACTCTAATAAATTACCTCGATCAATTGACGTCTCTCCAACATCCACTTAAAGATCTTGGAACACTTGACATGAAGCTCTTCCAAACGCGTCGTTTCTTGTGAAAGAAGTTCGTAAACTTCTTCGGCAGAGTCAACTATAAATAATGTTGAATATTAATCAAATACTTTTAACATTACTGCTTTGATATTAAATTAATATAATAATAGACATACTTTGATGTACGTTTTCAAAGAAATTTTCTCGTTCATATTGTGGAACCAAGCATTTATCCCAAAGGCTACCCAATTGAACAGTGTACTAGATTTAAAAATCATACATATTAATAATCGGCAAATTTAAAATTTCACCTTGAAAAGAAAAATAATAATAATCTTACTTCTTCAATAGCTTTTTCAACAACAGTATGCATGATGTCTCGTAAACGTTTAAGTTCCAAAGATAACTATTAAAAGCAAATTCAAATAAATATAAATAAATAAATATGAATAAATATAAATAAATATAAATAAATATAAATAAATGTATAATAAACCAATTTATATTATTTAAAACTTATCATACATAAACATATACCTTATTAAAATAGTCTTCATCAAGTGAACAAATTAAATTTATTCTTTCTTCTGAAGGAATGTTTAATTCATTATAAAGATTTTTAACAGTTTTCAACATTGATTCAACTTCATTCTTGCGATTCATATAATCCTGTTCAAGTACCACTAATTTTTTCTTAAGGATAGAAATACTCTCCGTTGATAATTTTAATCCGGATGGAAGTGGTAAAGTATAATAAACATATTCCCGTTTCTTATTATTCATCTCTTGTTGATTTTTATCAGAATCATTATTATTATGCCATTCATTAACAATGTCATCGTTTTCAAGTGCTTCATAAAGAGTTTTAGGATCAGGTTTATTAGCAAATAACTTGAATAATGATTCATCTATGTCATCCTTAGGTGAATAATTAAGTACATTCCAATAAAAATGTAACTTGATCGCGAACTTTTCGAATGTGTCGCGTCGTTCCGTCTATTTACGATGTGAATATATATATATATATGGATATTATTATGATTTAATTTAAAAAAACTAATCATATTATCATGAGACATACCACAGCTCGGGAATACTCATCGTATTTATGACATATCTATTTAAAAAAAAATTCAATAATAATTTTAGTTATATATATATATATACTCTTGGAAATATACATCTACCTTTGAAAATATTATATACGAACCGGTAGAACTAAAGAAGAACTTAAATCTGTTTTAAAAACCTATGAAAAATATACGCGTTATTTTTGTTTATAAATATATATTTTAATAATAATAATACTTAAAATAACTTTTTTTTTTACAATACCTCTATTGATGGAACTTTATAATCTTCATTTAATTCTTGTACAAGAATTTCAAGACCACTTAACCATTTGTCGAGATTCTTTTGCGTTAGATCGATTTCCTAAAAAGGTAAGATAAGATACGATTAATTAAAACAATAATCTATATATATAACGCGCTTATAGTTTAATTAAATGGGATAATTGTTAATTTTTATTACCTCTTGTAACGAGTCCCGAATAAACTTTAGGCTATCGCGTGTTGCGTCACTTAAATCAAAGTTTAAAGCAGCAGCTTGTGGTATGACAATGTCAACTCTTCGACCAAATATTCGACAATGATCATCTATTTCCACCTTTTTTTTAAAAAAAAAAAAACGCGAAAATATAATTTAGATAAATAAAATTAAAGAATAGTTAAATATATATATATATAATAATTAATGAATTATACCAGTAAGTCTTCTATCTCAGCTGCGAGTTTTGATTTCCAAAGAAGTTGTTCTTGAATAAGTTTATCAAGTTCTGAAAATACTCCCTATATTCATTCAATATTATAATATTTCAATAAATACTTTTTTTTTTAAAAAAAAAAAAAGGCATTAATAAAAAGTAATTAAGATGGTAATAGAAAATTTTACTTGTAATTTTTCTCGTGCCCACTCCGACTGATCACCGTATTCGTTGTCAACACACTCGTTTGCAATTCGATATTCCGACCACAATAACTTAAGGTGGTCAACTTTAAAGCGAAGTATATCCATATTTTTTATAGAGTTATGTATTTGATTTGGTTCAGCTTACTGGAGGAAAGAAAAATTAATGGAGAAGAAGGAGGAGGAGGAAGGAGTCCAAAAAAGTGGTTGAGGATCCTTGAAAAAATTGTAATTTATAATATATAAATATAAATTATATAATATTATTAGACAATATTAGTGATAAAAATATATATAAGTATTAATCGAAAGAAAGGGAAAAGAATAAGATAAAAAAATTATTTATTTAAAGACATTATACAGTATTAAAAATTTTAGGGGAATATCAATTCAAAAATTTCCAAATTCATGAATTTTTTTTTATGCACGATGAGATCTTTTTTTGTTTAGGAGATTTTTTTATATCTATTAAACTCTTAAACTATTGTTTCTTTTTTTTTCGATTCAAATCTTGATTAAGAAATGAATCGGTTTGATCTATATAGTTAATCTTTTTTTTTTTTTACCTTGATGACTATCCTATTTGGATGGCCTATAAAGAAAAAGGTTGTAATATAGTATTTTAAAAGTAATCAAGGTATGAGAGAATTCTACTCAACACAAAATGAAAAAAAAAATTTAGTCAATTTAAAGACTATGATTAATGAATCTTTTTAGGACTTTAACGGTTATGTAAAATTTTAAATTTAAAATTTTTTGAAATGCAAAAAAAAGGAATGTAAATCATTAAAAAAGAAAATTTAGAAATTGGTCGAAGAGAAAAGAGGATGTTTATACTATGGTCACGATAGTTACCAAATTATACGTAAACAATGCAATGATGAATCTCATGTGACACAGGTAAAATTTCGCGCACGCATTGAGAACAAGTAAAAATCGCAATATGCGTACATAACAGCCATTGAAAATCTGTGGCGCAGGCTTATTTACGACATTTTGAGTCATTTTTTATTTTAAACTTAAAAATTTTTGATTAATACATATATATTCACAATCCTTAAACAAAAAGTAAGGTAAAAGGCGTACGTACATTAAAACCAGGGACTAATGGGACTAACGGGACTAACTGTTTACGAAATCATTCTTGAAATTAAATAAATTCATAAAAAAATGGTTTCAATCTTTATAAATTTAGAAATTTAGGTTATTAGGTAAGATTCATACGTCAAAATATAACCCCCTTATAATTCATTATAATTCATAGATAATCTTTTTTTAAAAAGGATTTTTGTGATCTTGTAGGTAAATTAAGTGACACAGATCATCAAGTGGCATTGGTATACGGAATAAATGCACGAATCGCGTTATAGATAAATAGTGAAATGTCTCAACGCAGGAAACTTCAAGGATTTGAATTTTATCAGACGGTACTTAAAAATGCCAAGTATTTCCTTGCCCCTATGGTGGATCAATCCGAATATGCCTGGAGAATCTTATCTCGCCGATATGGTGCTCAAGTATGTTACACTCCTATGGTTCATGCAAAAATGTTTTGTGACGAAAAAAATCATCAATATCGGTCCGACGTATGGTCAACTGGGGCAAATGACCGACCTTTAATAGTACAAGTTTGTAATTAATTGGTTTTATTAAAGATTATTTGATATTATCGATATTATCATTATATATAATTTTTTTGTTATAAATAATATTATTGAACATTTTTTATAATTATTTTAGTTTTGTGCTAATGATCCGGAAACATTACTCAAAGCCGCTTTAAAAATACAGGACCAGTGTGATGCAGTAGATTTGAATTTAGGATGTCCACAACATATCGCTAAACGTGGACATTATGGTGCTTTTTTACAAGATGAATGGGATTTAATTTACAAATTGAGTGAGTTTCAAAAAAGAACACATTTGTGTGTCTACTTTAAAACTAGTTATTACTAAAAGTGTGTGCTTGACGATTATAAAGAACATAACTATATGTTTTAATTTAAAGAGTGTGCACATGGGTGTGTTCCTTTAGTTAGGTTCTTATATATCTATTGAATCAATTGGATCTATTGAATAATCAATTGGATCTATTGAATATTTATATTGATACACATAATATATTTATACATATATATATATATATATTTCTTTGTTTTTTTGTTTTTTTTGCAGTAAATATCCTTCATGAAAACCTATCAGTACCCGTAACAGCCAAGATAAGAATATTTCCAGAAGTGGAAAAAACAATAAAGTATGCTAAAATGATTGAAAGTGCAGGAGCACAATTATTAACTGTACACGGTCGTATTCGCGACCAAAAAGGTCATAATTCGGCGTTGGCAGATTGGGAACAAATTAGTCAAGTCAAGTATATATTCATTTATATTTATAAATATTATAAAATATTATAAAATATTAAAAATAATGAAAATAATATAAAATAAAATTTATTTTCAGGAAAGCACTTAATATACCGGTTATTGCCAATGGAAATATTTTGTATTTCGAAGATATTGAACGTTGTATTAATATTACAGGTGTTGATGGAGTTATGTCCGCAGAGGGGAATCTTTACAATCCAGGCATATTTTCAGATAGCAATCTGCCAACTTGGCAATTAGCAAATGAATATCTAGATATTTGTCGAACAGTTCCAACAAAAATTGGGTATATTCGTGCGCACCTTTTTAAAATATATAGACCAGCTCTCCCATTTCATGTTGATTTAAGAGAACAACTAGCTAAAGTGACTACTTTTGAAGAGATATGTGCGATATCTAATGAATTACAAAGTCGATTGATGGTATTAGTTTATATTTGTTTTTTCCATTTGTTTTTTTATAAAAAAAAATTTTTAATTAAAAATTTATCTGCAATTTAGAAAACGGTAGCTAGTCATGTTTATGACAGTGCGATTGAAAATGATGTAAATGGTTATAAGATATTTCCTCATTGGATTTGTCAACCTTATATTCGGTCACCAACATTGGGAAATCCTAATTATGATGGAATGAAAAAAAAGATAGAAAATGACTAATGGTCTTTATTCTTGGCAATACTTTTATTTGAATATTATCAGATTGTGCAAATAGATCATATATATCTTATTAAGGCCTGATTTTTTTTTCTCTGAAAATTAACCAAAAGACTATAGAAGTTTTAGACTAACTTAAAACAAAGATTAATGTTTAAAATAAAGATTACATTAATAAAATTAACATTGAGTTGATTGTCTATACTACGTACTAGATATGTTTCAATTTTTATAATCATTATTACTTTTTCTTTTTATACTGACCAATAATTTTATAGAGAAAATATTAGTCTTTGAAAACCTTCTATACTGTAAAGAGTTGATGCATTTTAAATATTACTATTGTTTTATATATAATTACTATATATTATAATTACTATATAATCACTACATGTTTCAATTTTGTTCTTTGTCAAGTAGCATTTAAAAATATTACTTCTACAAAAAGGTGACGTTATACTATTGTTATTGTCTAGTAATCATATTAAATTTCAATTTGTAGATGTTGGTCAAATGAGTTGACATACCCTTAAAATAACGGTATTTCAATTCAATATACAGTAACAGTATGCTTAATTAAAAATAATAGTTATTAAATTTAAACTATTCTAATTACCAATTGTTGGAATCAATTAAATTAATGTTACTTTAAATAAATTAACAGCAGTTCTAGTGACTGTACATCTGCAATATATGTCATTATTTAGTTTAAAGTGATTAAAACAAGTTTGTTTTCATAAATTTTAATCGCATATCTGCATCTTTTAATTAAATATGTATATTGAATTGAATGCCTAAAAATTATTACTAATCGCATCTTATAACATTTATTAACAATAATTAATTAATAACTAATGCTTGAGTTAATTATAAAGTATATAGTGTATCATATATTACGTATAAAATATTATGCTTTGAACTGTATTTTAATATATAAGTTTTTCTTTATATATTACATTTGTCTTTACATTGTCTTTACATTTGTTTCTAGGACAATCTCCTTAACATTTCTTAAACATTTCATGATATCTTTCTTCAACGTGTCACGGATTCTTTGATGTTTCACTGCATGTTTCCTTAACGTTTTGTGGTGTTCATTTAAAAATCGTCATTACACAAATAGCGTTTAAAAATCGTCCACTACGCAATTATATTTTTACCATTATCGTTTTTCATTCTTAATTAATGAATTAATAATTTTATGCTTTAATTCTATGATTTAATTGGATAATAAGGATGCTCCTTACTTTTTATAACAATTATATATTTAAAAGCATGTATGCTTACTATTAGCGCGTTTTTGTTATTATTATTACATTAAAACAAATAGTAAAGATTGGGTTTTAACCTCTTGATGTTAGTGGGTGAAGCAAAAGTATAATAGTAGAGGTTAAAATATGCATATTCTAATGCTTAAAAGTTGCCCCTGCCTAGGTTGATGTTCTACATAGGCGCTTGAAGTTGCACCTGATTGAAATTGAGCCCCCTATATTAATATATTAATATGTATGTATGTTCGTACATAGTAATATCTGATATCGGGTAAATCTTTGAGGATGGCGATGATGATAGTAGCGGTAGATCAACTTTAAAAAATGTTAAAGTATGATGTGACTAAATGTCTACCACTTAATGTGGATGAGTAACCACACGTGGCCAATCATCCTCAGTGTGACCAGAACATGTAAACAAATTCTAATAACGGATAAAGGATTGTCGGGGTTTGATAATTAATCCCAGATATTAACATTAACAAATGACACTTATAAAATTCGATATCACTATCTACTAAATTCACCATCAATACTAATTTCGACATATCCAAATTATTATGAATTTGCTTATAATTCTCATCAGTTTTGTTTGCAAGTATAGATGTCATACAACAATTTCATTTAAGTTCATTCATTTAATCAAATTCATTTAATCAATTCATTTAATCAAATTCATTATATCAAATTCATTATATCAAATTCATTATATCAATTCATTTAATCAAATTCATTATATCAAATTCATTATATCAATTTATTTAATTGGACAATTCAAATTCGGTCAATGACATACATAAACTATATCCAACAACCAAAATTATTAGGGATTTTATTAAGGATTAGTTAGCGTAGCTATTTGATTATCATATTTAGAGAAATAATGACATTTTGAACACACGCACGTGCGTTATATAGACTATGAGTGATAGCTTATAGTTTTGTGTATTCGCTAGTTTCTCCTTACCATTATGAATTTCATTTATTTTTAGTGGTTCTGATTTTACAAAAAGAACAATTAATTTTGTATGGTCTAGGGACTTGCATGTTATTTTAGAGGCACAAGTTCCTAAGCAACATAATCCAATTTTGGACACGAATTTGATCATTTGATTAAGGTAAATTTTTTAAAATTAAAGAAAATATACAATATAATTACATATCTTTTTTATATAAATTTATTAATTATAGGAATTTGGAAATGCTTGGACATTTGGACGAGACGATAGACGGCACATGCCAAAAAGCTTTGTGCATTAAAAATGTACAACACTGTTGTAATTACAATTCGTTCAATCCAAAAGTATTTATGCAATCGTAAATATAACAATTTATATGTACAATATACAATAAAGCCCAATTGCTAAATTTTACCAGCCATTTAACAAAAATTCTCAGCAACTAATTATCAAGTATTTAAATCAAGTCGCAAAGATTGTTATGACATTTTGCATTTTGCGTCCATAAGTACGCACGTCCGCTGATGCGTATTCATTATTATAACACTATATAGATAGTAATGATAATATATAACTTATATTTTGATCCTTACATTTCCGTATTACTGTATTATCGAATTTCTATTGGAATCTACGTACAAAAAATTCGATTAACCAACATTTTTTTTTGATATCACGGATGATTTACAAAAATTAACCAATTACAACAAAAGCTTCCTTATTAAATAACTGTTCTAGCGTTACCTAAAAAAATTTCGCTGCTATATTAATTTTAGGTTGCTATTAATTTAGGTTAAAAAGAGCTTTCTAATACCAAAATTTCATAAGCAAAACCTTTTAATTAATGCGCAGAAGGTAGTTTAATAGGTAAAATGCCCGGTTTTTTGGGTTGATTTTTTTGCATTTCTTTGCGTAATACCTTGATCTTGAAATTTGATCTGCCAGCTAAATTTTTAGGTTTTTATTAATTCTACTCAATTTTAAATTTAGAAATTTAAGATCTTAATCTGCCTCTTAATACATGGAAAAAATGGTTTTATCCACCAACTATTAATTTAGCCTTTCTTTTTCGCCTGCCATCTATATCTTAGCCTTTTATCTTTCTTAAGATTTTGCCTTTTCTTAAAAGTTTCTGAGATTTCGTCATTCACCAGGCTTTCATCTTTCTGTCATTCGTCTATTGCCAATGTTAGGTTACTTTTTTTTTTATTACATAAAATAATTTTTTATATAATCATGAAATTGAAACTTCTGCTTCTGCTAAAACCATTCTTAAAAGTCTAAACTTTTTAAAAAAGGTAACAATTCAATAGCAAAGCTTGATAATGAATATCTTTCTTGAATTTAAGAATTATTAAATAATGTAAAACAAAAAAGTCAAACTCAAAATTATAATTCTAAAGTTTATCATTATAAAAACAAAAAAAACCAATTAAGAACAATAATTTCAATGGAACCAAAAAAAAAAGATGAATATATTTATAATAAAAGTTAGTTTAGGTTTGTTTTAGGTTTTAAAACTTTTAGTTTTCATTAATTTTTTTTTACTTTAACAATTACAATAGTTGCCGATTGGAAATTTATTTATATTTTAAGTTAAAGTTCCTATCTTCAAAGAGTGTCATTTTTATTCAAGTTTTTGTAGAACAGGTGCCTTCAGAGATTTTCTTACATTGAAGGTTACAACTAACTACACATGCACTTTTGATGCTTAATTTAAGTAGTTTGCTTATATATTACTATACAAGTTCTACATTAGATGTTATACTTGCAAGTCAATTACAGGTTTTGCTTATTCAAACTTTTGCATATATAATTTTCTTGTATTATAGAAACATTTTCAAAGTATAGTTCATCTAAGTTTCTAATGCTCATTAGTATCCTTAGAATTACTTTATCTTCAACAAAAGATTTACTAGAGTTTGTCATGTTTTATACATAGTTAACAATTTTATATAACATGTTATAGTTAACTAACATTTGCAATTACAAAGGTTATCTATTTAATTATTATATTATACTATTTCTACCTTTATAAAGTTTACTAGAACCTTAATATCTATCTTTTTAACATCTTTTCTATTATTTTCTAATAATTATTACTTAGAACTGACAGACTCTGATTAGACTATTAATTTAAATATTTTAATATAATATATTTCTGTATCCTTTCTTCTAACAAAATTTGGTAACTTAGTTAATTATATATTTTCTACATATATTTTTATTTAGTTTTTATCTAATTTGTTTCTTTAAAAATGTTTTGTAAGTTTTAACTAATCTAATAATATTGTTTAAAATCTATACTACCTCTTTATTTAGGAATTTCCAAATAGGTTTCTGGCTTTTTAATTTCTTAGTCTTCTATATCTGGTAGTCTTATTATAATTTTATACTAAAGTCTTATATGATATTAGTTAATAACATTTATATATATATATATAATATTACATTTCATATAGATGTTCTAAGTTTCTAATAACAGGTAAAACCTAATTGAGAGTGTGGTCAGTGTTGTTAATAAACAGGTGTAAACATATATATAGACAAATATATAGACAATATACTAGTTTTCAGGCCTAAATGATGCTCTAAGACTAGGTTCTTTGTATTTTAGATCTTAGATTCTGTATTTAATTTTTTTTTTTTTTTTTTTTTTTTTTAACCTTAAGCAGTTACGCTAGTACTTTATTAAGATTCTTGAAACTATTTAC